CTCTCTTTCCATTTCTACCAATTTCTGGCTGTCTGAGTTCACCCTCTCCTAGCAACAAATAACAGAAATAAGGGATTTGTTAACAAGTGAGTTGTCTGGAGGGCTACTGCTGGCTGTGGAGTGTTTTTCTCTTTTTCCATGGCAACTCTCATCGTCTTGGAAAAGCTTGATTCAATCCTGGACACCTCTTCAGCTCATGAGAGAGAACTATCAGTAGAGTTACTGCAAAAGTCAGACCTGGTCCTGTCTGCATACCTGCTTAAAAACTCCCGGTCCTCGTGGACTGGATTCTGCTTAGGTTCTGGGGCTTCAGGTTAGAGTTATCATCATGCTTTCACAGCATCTACATTTCAGGTAAAAGAAACTCATGATTCAGATGACGAATTAAACATTCAGCCTCTGAATACAATATGATTTAGTGAACAACATGTGCATCTAGAAAGCACATTGGGTTTGGGGTCTAAAGATCAGTATCTGCAGCCAGAAAGTGTGAGCATGAATGCTGGTTCTCCCCTTAGTTGGAAATGCCTTTAGAATTCATTTAGCTTCTTTGAGTCTCAGGCTCCTTATCTATAAAATTGAGGGTGGGTAGGGCCAGGCGCGGTGGCTCACGCCTGTAATTCTAGCACTTTGGGAGGCCGAGGCGGGTGGATCACAAGGTCAAGAGATCGAGACCATCCTGGTCAACATGGTGAAACCCCGTCTCTACTAAAAATACAAAAAAAAATTAGCTGGGCATGGTGGTGCGTGCCTGTAATCCCAGCTACTCAGGAGGCTGAGGCAGGAGAATTGCCTGAACCCAGGAGGCGGAGGTTGCGGTGAGCCGAGATCGCGCCATTGCACTCCAGCCTGGGTAACAAGAGTGAAACTCCGTCTCAAAAAAAAAAAAAAAAAATTGACGGTGGGGAGTATCAGTCCCAACTACCTCAAGGGGTTAGTGTGAAGATTTGTACACATAAGAGGGTAAATGTGTGAAAATGCTTTGGAAACTAAAGCTCTATGTGAACCTTGCTCTCATTCAGGTCTCCAAGGGTCTAAGATTACCTCCCCAGACAGGTCTAATAGGTGAGTTTTGGGTTCCCTGAGCTACCCCAAAGCAGGAAAAACCTTTCAGTGGCTGGGACCAGGGAACAGAGAGCTGTCTTTCAGGGGCTGTTTGCTCACCTTTGACTTCTCTTTATGGCTGCTTTAATTTTCTCTCATTAGCACATCACAGAGTTATCTGCCTTACAGTGTGTTCTCCAGGTTTCAAATTTTCTTCTCTTTAGTTCAGCAGATACTGATTGGGATCTCTGAATCCAAATTCCCAAAGAGAGATCATGTGATTAGCCCAAATTTGATCAGGTGTCCAGCCTAACGCCAATTAGCTCTGGGTCATCTGGCTCAAACGTGGTGGTCAATCTCCTCTCCCATTCCCTACTCCTCCAACAGATAGACAAGGGTGGAAGAGGAAGGAACTTCTCTCATGAAGTATTGTGAGATGGTAGATGGTGGGCCCCACAAAACGTACCTAATACATTTTGTAGCTTGAGGAGAAATCACCCCACGTCTCCAAGCCTCGGTTTTCTCCTCCATAAAATGGGGATTAAAACCACTTGCCTACCAGGGCTGTTGTAGAATTTAAATGTAATAATTTGAAAATAAGTCATAAAGTCCAAAAGTTCCAAAAAATGTGAGGCCTTACTCTCAGCTAGAGCAACATTCACTAAGTATTTATTTGGCACTTACTATGCATGAAGAATACTTTTTAATACAAAAATGAAAAGTAAAGATAAAACCCAGGAATAGTGTGTAGTTTAGTAATAAAGATTACTGGTTTTGGAGTCACACAGATTTGGGTTCAATTGTTGCAACCACTTATCAGTTGTGTGGCTTTGGCCAAGATTTCTATCTCTGAGCTTCAGTTTCCTCACCTGTAAAGTGAAAGCATGACTCTTTTTGAGACGGAGTCTTGCTCTGTCACCAGGCTGGAGTGCAGTGGTGCAATCTCTGCTAACTGCAATCTCCACCTCCTGGGTTCAAGAGATTCCCCTCCCTGCCTCAGCCTCCCAAGTAGCTTGGACTACAGGTGTGCACCACCTTGTCAGGATAATTTTTTGTAATTTAGTAGAGACGGGGTTTCACCATGTTGGCCAGGATGGTCTGGATCTCCTAACCTCATGATCCACCTGCTCGGCCTTCTAAAGTGCTGGGATTACAGGCGTGAGCCACTTCACCTGGCTGAGAGTTTTACCCTTAATTACAGCCTCTGTAGCCCTACTTGGTCGTATACTCTGTACACGTTTTCCAGGGTCAACCCTGGCACTCAACCCTCTCCAGCCAGGCTTCCCAGTGGTTGCTTCAGTCTGCGGAGCTTGTGCTTGCCTCAAGTTCTGAACAATGGTGGTTCCCTCTGTCTGGAATGCTCTTTCTCCTGGTCTTGACAGGGTGGGCTCCTTCATTTATTTTTCAGGACTCTGCATAAATATCTCCTCCTCTGAGGTAACCATCTTACCTACAAATATGTTCCCTCCACCCCACCCACCTGTGATGCTATTTTCTGATATCAAGTGTTTTAAACCTTTGATATTTGACAAACTTTCCAAATCAAATTATAAATTATGTCTTTTTCTTATCTAATTTTTCTTGGCTACAAGTCTTCAAAACAATGTTTTTAATTTTTTTTCCTCTTTTTCTTTTTCCTGTTTTTCCTAATTTGGAGTCACTGAAAACTAAGCTGTGCTTTCATAAAGCCCTGTAATCCAAGGCTAGGCAACTTCAACCTCAGAAGAAAGTAACAGCCTATTTACATACATAAGCCACTTTCACACCTGCCTACTGATGTATGGGCTTCAGAGTAATGTGGCTTATATCGATTTTCCAGGATTGTCCTTTTGTTTATTGTTGCTTTTCTCCCTTTCTTCCCCTATTTCTCTTCGTAGGACATAAGACTTCACAACCTTCTGAAAATGAGCTTTCCTAATAGCTTGGGACTTACCCCTCTAGAAAGAAACCATCCTAGCCATGAGACATCAGACAAAACGTGAGACCAGAGATTCATTTTCTTCTAAAATGCTTTCTCTAAAAGATTTTTAAAAAGAAAATCAGGGAAATGTGAAAGGAAAATATCTTGGAGCTCCAAAATCACTAAGCTAAAGAGAGGAGTCAAGCTGGAATCTGCTTAGGGCAAGCCTGCTTCCCATCCTATTCAAAGTCATCACTGAGATAAATGCATATCTGATTGCCCCCTTTGAAGAGGCTAAGCAGAAACTCAAAATAATGCAAGCATTTGTCTCTTATCTACCTATGTCCTGGAAGCACCCTCCCCACCTTAAGTTGCTTCACCTTTCCAAACCAAACCAGTGTTCATCTTATATTTATTGTTTGATGTCTCATGTCTCCCTAAAATGTATAAAACCAAACTGTGCTCTGACCACCTTGGGCACATGCTGTCAGAACCACATGTCCTCAACCTCAGCAAAATAAACTTTTTAAACTGATACCTGTCTCTGATTTGGGGGGTTCACAAGATCATTTGAATCCTAATCCAATGACTAGCACCTTTGGAAGAAGAAGGAAAGTTAGACACGAAGTGCCATACAGGGAGAACGCCATGTGATAACAGAGGAAGATACTGGAGTGGTACTGCCACAGGCCACAGAATGCCAAGGCTTGCTGGCAGCCACCAGAAGCTGGGAGAGAGGTGTGCAGTGACTCTGCCAACACCTTGATTTTGGACTTCCGACCTCCAGAACTTTGAGGGTTCTGTTAACACATTTCTGTTGTTTTAAGCCACTCAGTATATGATCATTTGTAACTATAATCCAAGAAAATGATAAAACTTAGTCAATGCAAATTAACATAATCTGTATTAATAATTAAGCTCTTGCTGCAATAACCTAACTTCCAGTGGTGAATGAGGCAAGAAGTCACCCCATAACTACTTTTCCTGCAGGGAGCTTCTCTATAGCCTTGCCACAGAACCATCCACTCAGTCCTGGGTTGGAGCAGGTTTTACGGACCAGTTTGGTCTCTCTCTCTCTCTGTAGCTCCCAAAGATACTCCAGGATGAGCACCAACTCTGGCACCTTGGTAAACACTGAGCTGGGGCTTCTTGACTTTAATAGGGTGAACATGATATTCAAGCTGGGAGATTAGGGAGCTAATATTTTCCCTGCAACTGACTGGGATAAGTCAGTGTTCTTACCCAGAATAGACCCGGACAGTTCTCTCCAACTCTGTGAAAAGAGATGGCCAGCCTCATTGGTAATAAGAGACGTGCAAAGTAAAACTACCATGAGATACGATATGTAGCCTAACAGATTGACAAAGATTAAAAAATTTGGTTATACTTTGTAGCCAACGATGTAGAGAAATAGACAATTTTATTGACTGAAAAGGAAGTGGGTACATCACTCTCTAGAGGTCCATTAAGCCGTATCTAACAATTACAAATGCACAGGCCTTTTGATCCAACAATTCCATCACTAGGAGTCTATGGTATGGAAGTGCAGGTGGGAACAATGGTTATTTATTGCAGCACCATCTATAGTATCATTGTTTGAAAACAACCTAAAGTATTCATTACTAGAGGACTGGTAAAATAAATTACAACACATAGAATGTTCTGCAGTTAAAAAAAAAAAGAATGAATGAGGTCTTTTTTATACTGATGTGGAATAATCTCTAAGTATATCATAATGGACAAAGCAAGACAGAGAACAGCATGTAACATTGGCTACCATTTGTATGAAAAAGAAAAAGAATGGAAAAGTCAGTAGATTCATACTTGCTTCAGTATGCAATTCAGTGAAATTTCTTCCACCTGAAAAAGTCCTATGAAATCTAAATTATGGGGGCCTATAACGAATATCCACATCTCCAGCATTTCCCGGCTTCCAGACACCATTCATCCAATAGCAAACTTCCCAACTAATTTTCTGGAAACCCTGCTTTTCTCATGTCTTTTATTTGCTTACCAAAGTTTTTTGGTTTTTGTTTGTGTTTTTGTTTTCTGAGACAGAGTCTTGCTCTGTTGCCCAGGCTGGAGTACAGTGATGTGATCTCCGCTCACTGCAACCCCCACCTCCCGGGTTCAAGCGATTCTCCTGCCTCAGCGTTCCGAGTAGCTGGGATTACAGGCACCCACCAACATGCTCGGCTAATTTTTATATTTTTAGTAGAAACGGGGTTTCATCCTGTTGGCCAGGCTAGTCCTGAACTCCTGACCTCAAGTGATCCACGCGCCTCAGCCTCCCAAAGTGCTGGTATTACAGATATGAGCCACTGCCTGTCAAAGATTTCTCATTGCCTCATACTATAAATCCCATAACCTGACATTCAGGACTTACTGCTGGGAAGACGCAATTTATCTTTCCCACATTATATTCCATTACTCAAACACAGAAACTCTCTATCCAACCAAAATCATTTGCTCACTGATCCCAGACACTAAACACTTTTATTTTATTGAGGAGCTTTGACAAGAGTGAGCATAAAATACTGTCAAATGGCTTTTCTACATCTATCAAAAAGATGATGTAAGGCTGCTGTGACACAGTGACACAAACTGGGTAGTTAAAAACAATTGAAATGTATTGTTTCACAGTTTTGGAGGCCAGATATCAAGAGCCATGCTCCCTCTGAAACCTGTAGGGATATCTTTCCTAGCCTCTTCTGGCTTCTGGTGATTTGCTGGCAATCCCTGACATTCCTTGGTTTTCAGCTGTATAACTCCAGTCTCCACCTTAATCGTCACGTGGTGGTCTCCCTGTGTGTCTCTGACCTCACTTGGTCATCTAAGCGAGAAAGTGCCTGAGTCATAATAGATCAGGGGTCCACTCTGTTATATGTTGAGTGTCCCTTATCCAAAATGCTGGGGGCTACAAATGTTTCAGACTTCATATTTTTTCAGATTTTGAAATATTTGTATTTGATTGACCAGTACAGGATCTCTAATCTGAAAGTCCAAAATCTGAAATGCTCCAATGAGTATTTTCTTTGAGTGTCATGTCAGTGTTCAAACAGTATTAATTTTGGATCATGTTTGAATTTTGGATTTTCAGATTTATGATATTCAACCCGTACATTATGACCTGTTCTTGACTAATTATATTTGTGGTGACCCTCTCTCAAAATAAGATTACATCCTGAGATATTAGGAATTAGGATTTCAACATATATTTTTTAGGACAGGGAACACAACTCAGTCAATAACAGATTATATGATTTTTCTCTTTAGCTCCCCGAATAGGATAGATAATATGAATGGATTTCTAATAACCTATTTGCATTACTAGAATAAATCTCACTTTTTTATTAAAAAGTATTGTTTTTTAAATGAGCTGCTGGAGTCTGACTGTTGATATTTTAAGATATCTGAATGATTTTCACAAGTGAGAGTATTCTATTTTCTTTTGATACTATTTCAGGTTTCAAGATAAATATAATTGCTTCATAAAAGAAATTTTGAAAAATGTCTTTATCTATGATCTGGAATAGGTTAATTAGCATTGTGATTAACCGTTTTTCAAATGATGGATAGAATGTTTTTGTGAAGCCAGCTAGGCCTGGTGCTTTCCATAGAGGAGTCTTTTAACCCCTTTCTCTACCTGTTTTATGATAATTAGTCTGGTTAGATTTTATTTTCTAGGATTAATTTTAGTAAGTTGTGTTTTCTTTAAAAAAATCTATTTCTTCTATTTTTTAAACTTATTTTCATAGTGGTGTACGAAATTAGAATTTTTCCTCTGCTTTTAATGGTTATTTTTCCTTCAACATTTTGTGCTTTTGTTTTTCCTCTTTTTCTTTCTTTATTAGATTAGCTAATGGCTTGTCATTTTGTTGCATTTTTTCCAAGAACTCTATTTTGCATTTAGTAGTTTCATTGTTTTATTCTTTCCTAATTTAAGAATTTATACTTTCTTTAAAAATATCTGGAATTTTGTCAATTTTTGAGGTAAATCTGATTCTGGATTTGGGAATTACAGCTTTGATACATGTAGTTTTTTACTAGAAATTAGTCATCTGGTGCCCCATTTTTTTCCTTTTAGTATTGTTTTCATATTATTGCACGTGTTTTCTCTGTGTATGCACCTCAGATGGAAGTTCTTTGAGGCTAAGACTATGCATTGTATTTTTTAGGAACAGTAAGTATTGATATTATGGCTAGGAAGAACTTGTGGCATGCAGCTTCTGAAAGGGATCCCAACAATCCCTACCTCTTAGTACTCATATTCTTGTCTCACTCCCGTCCTTTAGTGTGGGCTAGATCTAGGGACTTGCTTCTGTGAAGTAGAATAAGACAAAAATATTGGAATGTTACCTCCAAGATTGGGCTATAAATGGCATCTACTTTGTCCGATTCAGACTCTCTCTGTATGTCTTGATTTTCTCATTTGCTTGTTTTGATGAAGTAAAGGGCTATATGATGAGCTATTCTATGAAGTGGCTGTATGATGAGCTATTCTATGAAATGGCCCATGCATTGAGGAAAAGGGAGTGGCCTCTGGCCTATAGTCTACAGCGAATTTAAGTCTACCAACCACCATCTGAGTGATTCTGGAAGCAAATCTGCCTCCAGTTGAGCCTTGAGATGATGTAGCTTAAACCAGCATCTTGACTGTGACCTTGAGAGAAACCTAGAGCCAGGGGACCCAACTGAAATACACCTAGATTCTTGCTCTGCAAAAACTTTGAGATAATAAATATTGTTGTTTTAAGCTACTACTTTTGTGTGATAATTTGTTATGCAGCAATAGACAATCAACACAGAAACCAAATTCTGTATACTTGTCTTGATCCAGGAAACATTGCCCAGTTGAAAACTGAACACTCTAGTTGTAATTGAAAGTAACCTGCTGTACAGAGAAATAACTAAATCAGAATTTAAAATACAATAATGCAATTTAAACCAAAATTTTCCATTTAAAATGAAAGGTATTTTAACACTTATAAAAACACTTTAATTTATTAAAGGTTACCAGTTGTCCCTGCCCTCATTTTTCTTTTTTCTTTTCTTTTTTTTTTTTTTTTTTTTGAGATAAGATTTCGCTCTGTTACCCAGGCTGAAGTGCAGTGGTGTGGTCATGGCTCACTACAGCCTCAACCTCTTGGCCTCAAGCAATCCTTCTGCCTCAGCCTCCTCAGTAGCTAGGGCTACAGGTTCATGCTACCATGCTTGGCTAACTTTTTTAAATTGTTTGTCGTGATGAAGTCTCCCTGTGATGCCCAGGCTGGTCTTGAACTCCTGGCCTCAAGGGATCCTTCCACTTCAGCCTCCCAACATGCTGGGATTACAAGCATGAGCTACCATGCCTGGCCAATTGCCTTTTGGAATAACTTGTTTTTAGTGTGGCTTCTTTTAAAAACTTGTATCTGCACATGACTATTTATAACATGCCAAGTGAATGACAGGCTGCCTAGATAAAATGTGTAGATTATGGTTGAATTATAACATGTATTTTTTACTGTATAGTATTTTAACCAACATTAGTTTCCTAACACTGGTGGAGACTGCTTGTTGTCTGCAAAAATTTCTGTCCTCCACTTCTTCCACGGTAATATAGTTTAAGCCGGACATAAGGTTACCCTGCTAGAGATAACATTTCCAAGTCTTTCTCACTGATGGAATGTCAATGGAAGTGATGTGTGAACTTCTGCCTCACTTGCTTAATAAGACATTGCTGCTCAGGACACTCTCTCTCTCTCTTCGCCCTTTCAGGAACTGAACCTCAGATGTGCCCTAACCCAGATTCAACCATGCAAATGAGGACAATGACCTAAGGCTCAGTTTCAGGGTATGGTGGAGCAATCAGATGAAAAGAACCTGAGTCACGGAGTAGGGCCAAGGAGCAGAGCTTCCTACCAACTTCAACTGCTTGCCTTAGAACCATCCTATGAAAGAGAAATACATGTCTGTATTTCTTAAGCCACTGTATTTTGGGGTCTCTTTGTGACCGTAGCTTAATCTTTATCTAAACTAATATTAATAATCCATCATCAATTCCTTTTAAATATGTCATTTTGTAATACACACACACACACACACACACACACACACACACACAATTGAGCAAAGTACAAATAACTGGATTTCTGCCCTGGAAAAAAAAAGTGGAGCGAAGGTGAAATGTGTTTCCCACAGGTATGACTAGTGTTCAATGATCAAAGAACTACAAGTTGTTTTTCTGGCATCAAAAAAAATTTTTTTTTTGCTTGACTTCAAGCTACCATTTAATATCGCTGCACCATTACAGCAGTCTTTCAGCTCTACCACTTCTCAAAGATGTTGGTTTTTGTTAGGTTGGTTGGGAAATTCATGTTCAGAATATAAGACTGGGCCTTAGAAAAAAAGGCTCTAGGGAAATGTACTTACTACTGCCCAGAAGTCTCCTTAGTCTTACTTGAGATGTTCAGAGCCAAATTCTCCTGAGGATTCCTTCCTAGATTGAATGGCTGCAGCACAATACACCTTGTTATCATGATCTCACTAGGCCTTATAGAGCTTATCTCAAGATTATTTTTACAAGAGCCTTACAAGAAAGACAAGAAGTGAGGATTATCGTTTCATTACAGAGATAAACCCACACATGCAGTAACTTACATCAGGTGGCATGGTGAGCCACTGAAAGCTGGAATCAGTAACTGATCCTCCATGGAGATAAAATGCTGTGTCTGCAAATACAATTCTTCAGCAATTATCTTAATGCTGGGTGTGCCATATTTTGCTTTTCCTTTTTCCTAATTGGGAGAAAGAAAAATTGAAGCACTAAATTTGGGAGACACGTGATGAAAGTGCCATTACAGGAAAACATATTTCTTTAACACATAAGCAGAATGGGTTCCCAACGATTGCAGCTCCATCTTCTAAAACCAAACCTGTAAATGAGCCAGCAGCATTGTGGAGAGAGGCTTCTAACTCCTGGGCTGGACATTTCTGAGTGTGATCCCGCCAGGCAAGACAGTAACACTGTGTGTCTTCTGTAAGTGGAGAATGGTGTTCCTGAAGAGCTACAGCACTCTCTCAGTCCCCTTTGACTTTGTTCTCCAGACAGGATTGAGAAGCAAGAAAAGTAGAAACTAGGGCATGAAGGGGGACCACATCATCCTGGAAAGTCACATCCCAAGGACATTCAGTCCTAAAAGGACAACTGAATAAATAAGGCAATAACAGATGTTCATTGATCATCATTTGTGCAACCAAATTCTTAGTAGGCTTTGCATGGACAATCAGTAAACATGCAGGCTTCTGTGGCAAACGGAAGACAGGGTTAAATTGCACTTTTGTTGCAGACTGATCACCTGGGCCTAATTTGGCTGCTGGCTCCTACGGGATCTCTGAGCCTAGGAGGGAAATTTAGGTGGGGGGAGGGAAAACCAAGGCCGGCCTGCAGGATGTTTCCTTTGTTGTCTTAGGCTGAGTGCTCTAAAGCAGGTGCAGGTGCAGTGAGATACCTAATCCTGTCCCCACTCCTCCAGCACTTCATTAGCTTCTTGTTTAAAGTCCCCCCAGATGGTCTGATGCGGTCTTCCTAGTGCCATTGCTTAAAAGAGAGGCAGAGCAAAAAGAAGTAGGAGAGAGTGGTAAGTATCTTTTTTCTCAACGCGGAAAACCCAGAAGGGAGTTTCCTCCCCGCCCACCTGAAAGTGTTCCCCAGTTGCCAAATCAAGGGCGGGGACAGCGACGCGGAGGATGTTGACTCAGGGCCCACTTTGAACCTCCTGGGTACTTGAGCAAAGTCGAGGGTGTTTGGACCTCTGGGGAGACGTTGCATCACGCAGTTTGGAAAGAACTTGGGAATTTTCCTTAGGGGGCTCGCTGTACTTACTGGGAACTAGTCTTGCAGGGACGTGGGAGTACGTGGGTGGCTGTGGGGAGCTGGCGTGTGAGGAAATCTGGCTTCACCTTGGGCTCAGAGTTGCAAGGAAAGTCACTATGGGATCAGCCTGCGCCGGAAAGGATGGACTCGCGCAGGTGCACGCGCGCTCGGCCGCTCCATTAGTGTCACAGGAGGAAGTGGGATGTTTGGGGGCGCCGCGAGAAGAGAGGCGCAGCTGGGACACCTGCAGTCCTCTGCCCGGTTACTGCCTGTCCTGGCCCCAGGGCCGCCCAGGTTCCCAACAGGGTTCCCTTGCCCGCCGGGATGGAGAGAAAGGGGACGCGCCTGGTGCAAGGTGGAGGCGGACACCTGGGCGGGCGCTAGGACCCGGGCGGCGCACCTGTTGGCTGGGACCCGGGGCCCCGCCTGCCGGGCCTCCGCCCCGGGTGCGGGACCGGCGGGGGCTAGGCGGGAGTGGCGGTGCCAGCGGAGGGCACCGGCCCGGCGTGGGGGCGGCGGCAGAGCGTGGCCCCGGGCTCACCATGGCCGAGCTGCTGCGGAGCCTGCAGGATTCCGAGCTCGTCGCCCGTTTCCAGCGCCGCTGCGGGCTCTTCCCCGCGCCGGATGAAGGCCCCCGGGAGAATGGCGCGGACCCCGCCGAACGCGCGGCGCGGGTCCCCGGGGTCGAGCATTTCCCCGCGGCCAACGGTGGCGGGGCCCCGGCCAAAGGGCTGCGCAGAGCCGCAGCGCCGCAGGTAACCGCGGGCAGGTGTTCGCCGGGGACGGGGAGGGGGCGGCTCGGCGACTCCGCCACGCGGGGCTGGCCGGGTGGAGAGGGCGCTGTCCCCGGCAGCGACCCGGCTCCCGGCCCTGCGAGCGGACTGGGAGGCCTGGGCTTCCAGTAAGCAGGATACAACCCCTGAACGCTGCCAGGGCCAACCCGGTCCACTGAGGTATCCGCAGACCCTGTCAATGCCGTGCATTTAGAGACTTCCCACTTTAAAAAGTAGTTAAATTCAGGTAGATGCCAGCAGATATGTAAGAGTTACGTAATGGAACAGAGGAGCGGGGATGTCCTTGGCACTTCCCCGGGGAGACGTTCTTAGACTACCCCCCTCCGTATTTTTGCATTTCCGCCCATCCTCCTTCCCGGATCCGCAGGAATGCGGGTGCTGCTGGGCTTGCCGCGCTCCTCACCAGCTCTGGGGACAGAACTTCGGGCTCAAACGGCTCCCAGAGAGATTTACAACCCTCTGGACTAGCCCCAGCGATGGTGTCCTAACAGCACCTCCCGCTCGCCCTCCCCCAGAGTCTGCCGGGGGTGGGGGGCGGTCCCTCCTGCCAGGTGGGTCTTCTATGGACTGACACCAGTGACTTCTAACAGATGCTTCTGGGAGGGAAGCCCGCCGCGCTCCCAACTAGGCGTTCAGAGCGTGGTTATACAACCCGCTGCGGCTTGGCAGGGACCAGCGTGTGTTGTCGTCGTCGCAGTGCACAGGGACTCCAGGCAAGAGGGAGCAGAGGGGCTGCACTTGGCTTCTGGGGATGCCTGTCTACAGGGGCACCGGCAGCGGCTGCCCCTTCCCTCGGCAAAGTCAAAAGTGTGGCACAGGAGAACAGAAGGAAGCAACCTATTAACAATTCCAACTCCTTGTACAAAAGCCACGTTTTGTTCTTCCTAGGAGGTTTCGGTGACAGAAAAGGGGCCTTTATTTATGTGTAAATTTCTAGATGTAACTGAGGAATTAAGAAGAACCTGGCTTCTGCGTGGAATGGATTATTCTAGGCATTGGATTCTAGAATGAGTTTGGGAGGATGAAGGTGGATGTGTGTTCCACTCCAGAGAAATCCCCCTCTGCGTTTTTTCTCCTTATTGTTCCCTTTATCCCATGTGACTTTCTAGTAACTTATTGATGAGTATGAGAACCCCCTCTTTTCTCTTGCCTTGTCTTAAAAAGAGGGCAGAGTAGGAGGGATAAGAAATTAGCCGGGTGTGGTGGCGCACACCTGTAGTCCCAGTTAGTCGGAAGGCTGAGGGAGGAGAATAGCTTGAACCGGGAGACAGAGGTTGCAGTGAGCTGAGATCGCACCGACAGAACCAGACTGTCTCAAAAAAAAAAAAAAAAAAAAAAAAAAAAAAAAA